CCTGCTGGACCAGGTGGGATGGATCAATGTAATCAGGACAAGATGGTTCCTCAGGTAACCTGGGCCCATGCCATGAAGGGCTCTGAAGATCATAACCAACACTTTGAATTGGACCTGAAGCAAACCAGCACCCAATGCAGCTCATGCAGCAGAGGTGTTACATGTGCAGCCCTAGAGACACCCATAACTGCACCTATCAAGAGATAACCAATCTTGTATCCTGTGTTCTTCAGCATTTTTCTTAATTGCTTGGATGGATGAAAAGGTAGAGGGAATGCTTATCAAATTTGCAGATGACACAAAATGAGGTGGGAGAATTTGTAACTGAGATGTCAGAAATAACATTTAGAATGATCTTGATTAGAAAAATGGCTGAATATTAATTTATGAATTTATAAACCTCTTCAGTCAGGCAACTCTGGACAGTGTACAAATTAAGTTTCTCATTTAGGAGACAAAAGTAAAACACACACCCCGGATGGGGAACATTTGGCTTAGTGTAGTACATGCAAAAATGCTAGAATAGTAGTTAATTACATACTAACTATAACTCAGGCATATAATGTGGCTGCCAAAAGGAAAGTGCAATTTTAGGCTGCACCAACAGAAATATAGGAACTAACAGTTCCTCTCTATTCTTCTCTTGGTCAGACTCTACCTCAAGTACTGTACTGGGTACTCTGCTTTAAAAATAACCCAGAGATGGATCCAGTACAGAAAAAAGTAGCAAGAATGAGGGGACTAGAAACTACTGTGCATCTTATGAAAACAGACTGAAAGAATTGGGAATGCTTAGCTTTGAGAAGAGAAAATGGGAGGGATATTATAGCATTCTTGAAAAGATGTCACACAGAAGGAGGTGAGGACTTTACAGTCTCCTTCCAGATTACAAGACATGAAATAATGGATTTAAATAAGAAAGAAGATTCTGATTCAAAGCTAGAAGAATTTTCTTAACAGTAAAAGCAATTAGCAGTACCAATTACACAGGTACATACCTAAATGGAGGTGCATAAACATCTCATTGTCACAAACATACACCCTTACTGCAAGTTACGTTAAATGGTTATCAGAGTTCAATAAAGGAAGAGGCATTTCAGTTCACTATTTTATACTGACTGTTGGCCCCTTTTTTCCCTCCATAATGCCACATGCTTCTATTCTCAGCAATCTTGTAGGTCTACTTGTAAGTCTACTTGTCCCCTCCCGCTTGGCATCTTATAAAATTGCCCAAACATCTGTCTTCTGCCATGCCTTTACATTGATCTGAACGTCTTGGGTGTGCATCTGTCGGGACTGCTGTGGGATAAATTAATTATGTTGTTTTTATCCTTTGGACTGAGGCAATATACAACATTTACAAAAATGGTAAATAAGAAAATAAATCACTGTTTTTCAGCTGTGGGAAAATACGTAATTTAAGCATACTTGCTGGGAAAAAGATGGGAACCCGATTCTGCCCGAATGAGTTTCTCCTTCACTGGGAGATGGAGAATCCTTTTCTTCCCAATGAAAATGGGAAGCTTGTTGCTCACTGGGCACTGGGTTGCTGGGGAAGTACACAAGTAGCGGCAGGCAGTAAAGATAGTTTCTGAGGGCTGCCTGTAGCTGATGGCTTGCAGACCACCGCTGTCATCAGTCTAGATGGGCTAGTGTCAGCAGTGCTAATCAAATTGCAAAAGAAACCTATTTCGGTTCAGAAACTATTTGTAAATACGATGCTCTAGTATTTTATAGTTTAAGCTCATCTTTCATTTTCTCAGAGAACTTTCCAGAATGTATTTAACCTCCATCTCCTTAAAATACTTGATTCAGTTACCAGTTCTCTTTATTATTTCCCAAACTGCGGCAGCAGTGGCAGGTATAATGGAAGGCTGGTCGAGGCACAATCGCCCAATATTGAAAATATGGAAACCGTCCACATCCTTTTCAGGAGCAACACTATTGCACACAGTCCTTTCATCAATGTGATCTGGAAAAAAAGTAATTTTTGATTTTTTTTCTATACTTAGTTCTTATTTTAAAATACAATTAGCTTAATAATTGTTATTTATTTTGTTTAGCGTATCGTGCCAGTTTTTAAAGGTAAATGTAAATATTTAAGGAGGTAACTTCATATGCAATATGTTAAGTGTCTATAATGGGACTCCTGATTTAGATAAAAAAGTATCCATAGATTCTACTGACTAGTCACATCTTAATTTAGCTCAGTGGGGACAGGTGGATTATATGCATGTTACTTTATTCAACACAAGAAGTGGTGGTACAGAAAACACCCAGAAGAACATTCCCCTACAACTGCAGAACTGAAAGAAAATCCAGTTCCAATAAGAGAAGCTAATTCCCCCTGTAATGAGTCCTGCCTCCACAGAACATGTAAGAAATTCCTCCTCTCTCCATTGGAAAGGAAAAGTACTTTTCACAAAAATTTCTGAATCCAAAGATTAGCAATTGTTCTGCTTCTACTCTCTCTCTCTCTCTCTCTCAAACAATTTTATGCTGCTTCAAGACATCCATTCACCATAGGAAACCTAGTGTTATTCTCTGAAAAATGTGATTTTCAGGAAATATACAGGAATGGCAGGGCACTGTTGACTAAAAGCCCTTGAGATGTCTCCCCACAGAAACACAACCAGCAATTCTCCCTCTGGCCTCACCTATTGGGAAATGTGGGTTAGGGAAAGTGGTGTTCTGATCCACCTCCCACAACTGTTTTTTTGCCAGCTTCTCCAAGAAAGGGGAGTAGAGAGGGGTGCAATATATCTATAGTGATATGGCTAAGCTGGCTATTGAAACAAATCTTCCATCCTAGTAAAATGATTTGATCATGATTTGATATTTCCTCTGATATGTGCCATGTGGATTTGAAACCATTTCTAGGGTGCTTCAGCTTAAAAACATAATACTCAGTTTGAGTTACTCAAATTTCTGACAGGTCAATTGTTACCAAGAAATTCTATGCTTCAAGGACCAATAAAAGTGACCTAAAAAAAATTCTTTTTTAGAAATGTGTTTTATCATTGCATATATGATTTCACACTGATTTCCCATCCTTGTTATTCTGGAACACTAAAACTGACATCCTCAATTATGTCAAGCATGGCGAAATCTTTCTCTCCATTTTTGGAATTTGCTAATGCCTAGAACATGTTGCTTAGATTGCAAGAGCTCACCTTTGTATTATTATCATTCAAATGTACACATTTATGATGAGACCATTCTACAAAGACCAGGAGTGCTTCCTATAAGACTGAAGGGCACTTTGGAATCAGCTGCTGTTTTGGTCTTTCCTGCCTTTGAAGCAGGGCTGAGGAACCTAATGCCCCTTAAAATTTTGTTGGGTAATTCCTAGCATCCTGACCAATGGTCATAACAGTGGAGCTGAAGGATGCTGTACTCCAACATTATCTGAAAAAAATGATAAACAGAATGCATGGGTGAAGATGAAATTTTGTGAAGATCTGGAGAAAAACTGTATGCTACTCAGATTTGTATTTGGTAGCTACAAAATCTGTAAACTTATATGGATGACCAATGTCTTCTTCTTTCCTGACAAAAGAGGTACCTTCTTATAACAGGTTTCAAAGAGCATCACATGGTATCTTGTCAAACAATTTAAAATGGCTCTCTCCAGGTATGCTTGGAATTAGGAACTTATAGTTCAAAACATTTAAAAACCATCAGTTAGGAGAAGGCAGGCTGAGAAATAGCCATAACATAACTAGGTCTGCATCTAATGATTCCCATTCCTTTTAACTATGATACTAAAAATCATAACTCTGGAACTGAGTTGGACAAATCTGCCAGCCTTGCAGTATCGGTATGATGGTTCTTTGAAGAACAGTGGTGAAGCTTCAAAACTCCTTAGAAACACTTCCATGTACTTATTACAAGGCTTCCCATATCCTTCCAAAGAATGTTTGACTATTGTCAGGCAAGGACTGATGTTTGTTGACTACTTGATGTATGTTCTTAGGCCTCCCTGAGGTTATGTTACACTGCCTTCACATGGTCAATGCTTTTTTGTTATATAAACTATACTTTTCTATCACATAAACCTTTACTTCAGGAGGATTCTAGAAAATCTGTGAGTTGAATCTCAGGAAAAGTAATCAATACAAAACACAAAGTATAAAAGAAAGCAATATGGTTTGACTCCTAGATACATACTGTCCTATGAAGACCTGGCACATCCCATGTATTCTTGCAGGAAAGGATTACTGTGTATCCCCACCCTATGTGAAATCAAGGAAATTGTGTGTCTGGGATGATATGCCTTCTCTGCAGCTGCCCACATGCTCTGGAACATGCCTCCTAATATATGGAACATCTCTTTGTTTTTGCAAATTACCTTGAGTTTCATAGAAATGGGTGGTATATAACTGTATATCAATAAATATCTGAACAGTAGCATCTAGACCAGCTATAAATTTTGGGGGGTGGAGGGAGGGACTAAACAAATGAACTATAAGAGAATAGAACTGGGGAATACTCTGTGACTATAAAAATGCATTTTTATCTGGATATAGTTTTTAAATGTTTAAAAGAGACAGTTATTAGATCTCTTAAGAAGCCTGCATTTAATCCCTGGAGATGGCTAGAGATCAACCTCTGATCTTCCAAAGACAGGAATAGAAATTTCTCAGCCACAGACATTCCTAAACAGAGTAGATTACTGTATCTTGAAACATTTCAAATTAGCTTCAGTGAGGGCAATGCAGTTGAGACTTTCTTGGCTGGCTTGATGGATGTCTTTTATCTGCGTATCAACAAAGGGAATTGGTACTGGTTCTTCAGGAAACTTTGATACCACTGACCATCACTTCCTTCTGGATCACCTGGGAAATTTGGTAATATATGCCCCTGCTTTGCAGTGATTCCATTTCTATGCCTTAGATAGGTTTCAGGTGTTGTTGCTTGGGAACAGTTGCAGTTCAGATGTTGAAACAGAAATAATTACACAGTATTAGGCAGGCCTCCATTCTGTGCTTTTCAATATCTACATGATACTGCTGAGTATCAGGAGTTTTGAAGCTGGGTGTAACCCATATACTGATGACACCCAAATTAATTTTCTGTAACACCCCCAGGCAATGGTGTAGCTCTCCAAACGCCCATGTGCAGTTGGGAATGAAGGATTCAGTACAGTGAAACTGAAAAGGCAAAATGGAGAGTTTTTTTGTGAGGGGGTCATAATTCTGGGAGATAGTAGAACTTCCAGTTCTGAATGTGGTTGTACAAACCCCAAAGCAGCACATACACATACACTCTTTTTCCTAGACTGCAGCAATTTACTGAATGCTTCATGAACGTCTCAATAGCATCCCTTCCTAGAAGATGATCTGCCAGCACTGATAACCTCTGGGCTTAACTCCTGCAATGCACTCTTTGTGGTGCTATCTTTGTGTCTAACCCAGAAAGGTTAATCAGGCCAGAACCCAGCAAGAAGGTTGGACTTTAGAAGAGTTAAGAATATCTCTCTCCTGAAAGCATTACATTGGCTACCAGTTTCTTTCCAAAAGAACTGCAAAGTGCTGGTTATTGCCAGGAAAGCCCTACATGGCCTTAAGTAAAAGGTACTTGAGGACACTTTCTTCTTATGATTCCCACAGCTTCAATCATGGCCCTTTAAAACTGAGCTTTCTCTGGAGCAGCCACTAGTTTTTCGAAACATTTTGGAAAGGACAGGACTGATCTCTTGCAATCTGCAGTGATGTCTTATTGGCAAAATATATGGCAATTTGGCAATCAGATTTCAGCTAGACTTGTAAAGGACTAAGCAATGTAACAGAAATCACAAATATTTAGAGAAGGGAATTAGAAAAATAAATCATTCCACTTTTTGGCTCAACATTCAACAGGATGGCATTACCTGGCAGAGGTAACTGGACTAATATGCCACTGACTCTTGAATCCTTGTTTAATTTGCCCGTGAGATCTAAAAGTTCTTCTTGAGAAATTTCCTTGGGCCTCAGTATTATTTCACTACAAATGCCTAAAACAATCCACAAAAGAAATACCCTTAGCAACAATGGTTTACATTTGTCTCTTGCAAGATTTGCTACAGAAGTCAAATTATGTAGTTCCACATTTAATAGCACTATTGTTTATCTTTGTTCAACCCTCTAGAACAGGTAAAACAAATTCACATTCTATTTAATCATCTAGGACATGTGTAGGCAATCTGGAATCCTTGAATCTCTCTTCTGAATCCCAAAATACTGAACATTAATGAGATGGTTTCCCTAGGTGTCTGCAGGAAGACGAAGCAAGGGTGGGCAAGTGACAAAATGTACCCTGCTTCTTACAAACTTGCATGTGACACTGCAATATGAATACAAAAGGTTGGAGCTTGAACTGTGATGTCATGACACACATTTCAAAATGCTGGCATCATTGTGGTCCTGAATGGATGCCTTTTTGAGGTCAAAAACAGATGCAGACTGATATCTCAGCTCTAAAATAAGCTTCATAGGGACCCTGCCCCACCAAAACACTATGAAAATATTGTCCCTGGATAGGTGTATCAGCTCTCCTGCTTTAAATCACTGCCACATCCACTGAGGCCTCACTCTTCCAAAAAAAAAAAAAATCATACACAAGTAAAATACTGTACATATTATGAACATCCTGGGTTGGCAATGTACAAACTCTATTTAAAAAAAACAAAACATACCTACGGCTGCTGCTGCTTTTACTTTATTTCTTACGTAAGTGTGACTGGCTGGGTTTTCTCCTACTAAAACAACAGTGAGATGAGGTCTCTTGTTGCCAAGGGCAAGCCACAATTTGACATCTCTTTGTATTTCCTCACAGGCTTGTGCAGCCAGCTTTCTCCCTGAGATAACAGTTGCTTCATTCCTGTAAGAGAGAAGAGATAAAATGAAAATTTTAAAGAGAATCCATACATTACGCCTAAGCCAAGGAAATTACCATACAGCAACTAGTTACACTTTAAAAGATATAAAGCTTGTTTTATTAAAGCACATTTAGCTGTTGTGCGATTCCTGTGAACATAGGACTATAATATTTGAGAAGAGACAGATTGAATATTAAATGATATGTTGGAACAAGATTTCTGGAATGGCAAATGGTTCTGCCATCCCTTTAACCTGATCCTACCATCTTCTGAAGATTGCCCCTTAAACCTTCAGATTCAGCTAGGGCTTCATTCTGGCCTGTCTCTTAGTTTAGCAAACTATAGATTAATGCAACGTCCCTCAGCGTGAGATGAAAATTCCTTGTCCTTTTCTTTATGGCTAAAAATGTTGGAGTAGCACTAAAAATGCTTTGAAAGAAATTTTTATAAGAACATTTGATAACCTACATTTCTAACAATTATAATATTCTAAAATTATCCACAAAATGAAGGCATGAGGAATGAAAGGAAATGGAGTGTGGGAGCTAGAGACAGCACTCTGTTACCATTGTAGTGGAGCTGATATGTTGAGGCTAGGTTTCCTGGGATAGTATTAAGCAGAATGTAGTGTTTTAATTAAGACAGTCATTTTAATACTGTGGGAAAACAGATAGCAGAAAAGTGAAATACAGTATGTATCTGTGCTTAAAGAAGAGGCTATAACATTGGTTCAAACCTTGCTTGCTGATTAGACCTTGTGATGCAGTTTAAAAAAAAAACAGCAGCAAGAAGGGTGAAGAACATGTTCTGAGACTAACAGGCTGAGTGTCATTGGAGCATCCTGCAAAGGGAGCAAAAGATTGTAGACAAACCTCTGGCTAAGAGACTAGAAAAATCCAGATTGCAAAGAAGAGTCCAGAAGCCCTGGGAAAAGGACCAATCAAATTCTGGGGATGTCAGAGACTTGTGAAAAGTAACCAATCAAGACCAGAGAAGAACTGGGATGAAGGTGCAGGACTGAAAACTGAACCCTGGCATCAGTTTTAGAGGGTATTCCATTAACCCAAGTCCTACTTTCTCATGTGCTTTTATATCTGTTCCATCTGGGTCTCAGTTGAACTGGCCATTCCCCTAATAACTACAACTTATGACAAAAACTATTAGAATTATTAGGAAGAGAAAGTTTATCTATAAAGTTGAGTATGATTTTACTTTTCTGTTTGTAACTGCTTGCTTGTTTGCTTGTTTGAAGTAAACAGACTGAAATTTATCTGAAGTCTTGACTGTTTTCTCTTTTCATTAAAGCCATCTGGTATAGGAGGAACTGAGGGAAGAAAATTCTTTGGTGCCTAGAAAAAATACAAAGCAGAGAAGTAAAAGAATAGAATAACTTAATACAGGTAAAACTGAAGATTTCTTTCTCTGCCTTGTTCCATCCAGGTTTGTTTCTTCGCCATCTTGTTTTTTTGTTTTGTGTTTTTGGTATTCTTATTTGTTTTAAAACATTTTTAATGTTTTTAACAATTTCTAAACCACCCAGAGTTGCTGGGAGTTGGGTGGCATATAAATTTAATAAATCATTAATTATTATTAAAATCTCAGCCTGTTGCAGACATCCCCAGCACTATTGTTGACCAGTCCTCTTTATTTTCTCTAATTCTTTCTTGGGTTATTCCAAGCAACCTTCTTACAAATGCAAGGACAAGACTGTTCCCCAATGCTTATCCTTGGTTAGTCTCATAGGCTGAAATCATGGCTTATTAACTATGGTTTATTCAATAAACCATAGTGATTAGAGAACTACTATCAAAACTGAACAAAATTCATTATGATTATGAATGTCAGGATAACCATTATTTATTGAACAAGCCATAATACCCAGGTTCACATATTAAGCCATAATGGATAGATACTAAACCTAAAAGAAATGAGCCACATTATGACCTCTATCAGCCCACTTCTTAACTAGTGTTGTATGCAATGTCCTGGGAGCCTCAGCAGATGTCAGCACTTAGCCAATCTTGGTTACTTCAGAAGTAAACAGAGTTGGCCTTGGTTAGGACTTGAATGGAGAACCATCTGGGAATTCCAGAGCCATTAATGGCAAACTACTTCCATAACTATCAAAAAAAGTTCATGATTGCAATTACCAGAGGTTGAGTTTGACTCATCTTACCTGCAAAAATAAGTTGCCAACAATTTTCATGCTTATGAAGTTTTTGACCATCATTGTTATAATAGTGGCCAATGATTTTCCTAAGTATAATATTAACCTACTTGATAGGAGGATGATATAGTTCTAGGCAACAGTATTATTAAAAACAACAGCACCACTCTCCTTTTAACACTGTACAGCATAATTTTTACAGCAATGCTATGTATATGTGGTTCAAACATATTTAATACATCTTATATCCAAAGGATATAAATAATTCCGCTGCAGGAAAGATATAAGCACTTGCCTGAATTTTCACCTCTGTGCCTAAAATCATGGTTTAACATGGTATCTGAGGCTCTCCAGTGATGCTTCAGACATGACTTCCAAATTACAGTTCATACTATCTGTACTTTGACCTTTAAATCTTGGTTTATATTTCAGTTGTAAAGATGTACCCCTCTTCAAGTACCTTCCATTGGGAATACTGAAATCCCCTATTCAACATTACAGCAGTTTAAGTGTAATATAAATTCAAGTGGCTTTATAAACCAGTTTCACACTACAGTTTCAAATCCTGACATAGTAATCACTTGGTGGCCATGATTATCTACAGAAGCAATTCAGGTCTCTTAACATTTGAATCATTACCCAAATTTCAGATAATACATCCTTTGTATGACAGACCCCACCGCTGAAATGTCACAGAGATGAACTTGGAGAAATTATGTGGTGATAGTTACAAAAAAACATGTTTTAAGCTCAGGAAACAAAGAAAACATTAGAAAGAAACTCAAACTGACTCCCTGGGGTATGAGGGAGAGAAGGGAAATGCAGTCGGCTTTCAAGATTCTGTTATGATAGCCAATATCAATAGGGTTCCAGCATTCTTGGAGAGTCTGTTTCCTGATTTGGTCGTCCTCAAAGGGTTCATTTTCTATCTCTGTCATTTGCATATTGGCACCATAAAATACTGTGAAGTCATTAGATATTTTTAACTTAAAACTAGATCAGTGATAGTGTCTCCTTTCTACTGGAAGAGTTAGAGAAAAAAGAATTAAATAGTTGAAAAAGTATAATATACAGTATAACATACTTTTAAATGCAAATGTTTTACAAATATTTTTAAAAGTCCACTATATTTTTGTTATGGCTAGAACTGAGAAACTGGCAAATATCAACGATTTTCTCCAGAAGAAAATAATGAAAAATAACTTTAAATAAAGTTCTGTGACGTTATCAGAGACGGGTCAAATGACAAAAGCAGTACTGTGCCATCATGATGCCACAAGCTCTGCTCCTTTTACATCCTTTGTGACATCAAACACATATGAAATGGGCAGCTTGCATCACACAGTCATGATGTTGCTGTTGTCATTCTGACAAAACCCACCAGCCTTTATTTTATTATGGGCTTCAGAGGCAAGGAATACCTCAGACGTCCCTCTGACTACTGAATTACTTTTTTAAAATGTCTATCGCGTTAAAAAAAAAAGCCTAATCAGGATTTAGACCAAAATTCTAAATTATATTTCTTCCCAATTAGACATGAGAACGCTACTTACAATATCCACGCATACCAGCCCTAATTACAGACAACAGATTACCATTGAAACTAAAATATCCTATGGGTACAGGTTTTGTTTCATAATGTTCTGTTATTCCCTAGTTCTTTTAATTTTAGTTTTGCTATTGTTATCATTTTAAGCATCTTTTTGATGATGTGGTTTATCTTAGCTATTATTTAATATAATTAATCACATTTGTTTTGCAGCTTTTCTAAAAAAAAAAATCTGAGTAAGTGATCCCCCCCCATTTTATCCTCAGAATATAATTCAAATGATATCTGCAAGAGTTAACTCTTTACATTTGCACCTGTGAATCCAGTGACCAGGAGCCTAGCCCTGGATTATCAGAGAGAAGGCAACATAAATGCTTGCAGAAGCCAATTCTTTTAAGTGATGTTGTACAGGGGGACGATGGATAGCAGTCTTATTCAGAATGCTCACACAGTGCACATATTTATAGATTTATGAGGTTACACATTCAGCTAATTTACTCATATTAAAACCCAGTATGTTTCAGTTATGCCAGCATTATCAATTTTAGTTTTATAAGTTTTTTATAGCTGTTGGTACATTCTGAAGAGATTAATTGCTTACAGAAGATCTATTCATACAACCTAAGTTTTCTCTTCCTCTCCTCATGCACAGATGGAAGAACATTTCTGGATGTAATCCTCTATATATTTGAAACAAACAAACAAGCAATATAGAAGAAACACACTCTTCCATGAAAATCAGAACATGAACATTGACCTGTAAATATTCGCTACTAGGTTTGCCACTCTTAATATAATCAAAACAAATTACATGTCAAGAGAGTTTTTGACTATTTCTATAATGCAACTTTTAAAACCTGAAATACAAATGCTATTGATAATTATTTCAAGGGAGAGATTTTGTCTAAACAAATTAAATACTTAAATAAGAAGCTGCCGTATTATGTTTATTGAACTAAAAACTAAGTATGAATAAAAACATAAATGGTAAGAATACCTTTTATTATCTAAACATATTACTTAACAGCATCCCTTTGATTCATAAAGTAAATGAGTTTAAGGGGCATGGGGGAAGCAGAGAAGCCTGAATTCCGAAGATGGAATCTCTTCTCTCTGATGCTCCTAGAAGAGAAAAGAGAAACCAATAAGCAAAGGCGCAGTGCCTCAGGTTTTCCCCAGCCATGTCCCATAACTCATCTTCATAACTGGGTGATCTGATGAATAGAAATTCTGCCTTGGAAATCTGTAATGGCTCTGCCTAGATACCAGGCTAACGAGTACACCAGAGTTAAGCTATCACACCAAGCAAACTACCGAAGGAGCTTTCATGTTTGTTTAGCTGCTCCGACTGGCAAAAGGAGCCAAGAACAAGCTGTCAAACAGTGGTGCATCAGCAATTTGTTTGTTTTTTGTTCTAAGCTAGAATTAGCAATTCTAGCTTAGCATGACGTCATGACAGCAATTTCAAAATAGGCCTGCAGGAGGTAAGCCATATTCATTACCTTCATTATGGTAGCAAAAATTAGGAGGGGTTGGTAGCACCTATTCTGACTAATACATTTTATTAAAAGGTGTAAGATTTTGTGAACTGCCGCTCAGTTCATCAGTGGCTAAACTCAGGTGCCATTTAAACTGACATGAGCAGGGGAGGGTGGGAAGGGAAGGGAGCAGGAGGCAAGTTAGCTATGCAGATACAGCTTATTTTGAGACAGGTTACAAGTATCTTATCAATTAACCATTGTAATATATTAGTTATGTGTGCTGAGATCTTTTGAAACAATCTGAAATCTTTTGCTGTATGTGAGTTCAGCAATCTCTCGCTAGCAGTGCTGTTAAGGACTGTTTTTTCCCCAAAATGATCACTCCGAGAACTGCAATACAGTGTGCTGGGATGTTGAAATGCTTTGATATAACTTGGTTCTTGTTTTGAGTCCTGATATTAAACCTGTGTATATTAATTATTTTGCACAGTGTTCTCTCTTCGTGCTACATAAAATCCAGAGGGGCACTGCTGGTGGATGATGGCATGTGTCACATTAGAGGAAGAGCATTTAAAGGTACCTCTAATCCTATGTTTGTACTTGTTGAGGCCTGTGATGGTGCTATTGGTGTAGAAGTGTAGGCAAAGTAGATATTTGCATTTGTTCCAGGGCCTGGTTTCTGTGTTAGCATCACTGTCATGTTGTGAAAATCTGCATCAGGTTGGGTGGTTGTATGAAAGTATGGGCCTGACACTCAGTGCTTGAGAAAGTCCAGTGTCAATGTCCAATATGGGCTGTAGCTTATTAATAATGTGTTTGAGTGGCTTGAGCTGAGAGATGTAGGTGACAATTAGTAGTGTTCTGTTTTGTTTTTGTGGTCTGTCTTTTAATAGGTCCTCTCTGGGAATAGACTACTCTATGATTTGTCTATTAATTTTGTTGTGTGGGTAGTTCAGTCTCCTAAATGCCTGGTTTAATTCCATTAATTGGCAAGTGGGTGAGAACAAATGTGACTGTAATGTAGAGCCTGTCTTACAGATTATAAATTTCATGATATATTCTGGGTGGGAGCATGTAAGAATGTATGGCAATCTGTAGATTTCCTGTATAACATGGTACTTATGTGTCCACTGTGTAGTTTTACTGTGACAT